TTCATCTTCCCTTCTCCCTTCTCCTGGCAGTGTTGGGGTGGAGATGAAGGAGGAAAGCGCTGTCTGCTGCCTGTTGCTCACTGCTGATTGTGCAGGTCTCAGTACTGAAGTTCTCCTTTCCTCTACTTTTTTCCCCACCAGGATCCTGAAACACACTCACAACACAAGGCACAGCGGGCGGTTGACACGGAGATCTTTCACTGTGCTCTGGAATCAATGTGCAGTTGAGGTGGACAAGAATGGCTTCATTTTGGGGGTCGAAAGTCCTTTATTGGGGTAGCCAGAGATAGCTTTTTCAGGCAAACAGGATCCCTTTTATCTTTCCCAAGAGGATGGCTGTGAGCACTCGGCAGTGGACGGGTTTATTCCTGGTAATCGGTGCTCTCCAAAGGGCTGAGTAGAAGGCATCACAAACCAGCCACAGCCCTTAAGGAGAGGTGCTGAGGCATTTGCAGATGCCTGAGCAGGAGATGCTCTGTAACCCATCATCTGGTGGTTGTCTTTCCCTGCACACCACAAGGCTTGCTTCTGGTTGTTTAACCCTATTTGGAGTAGATCCCACAGTCTTCCACTACTCTCCACTGTAAAGAGGGAGCAGAAGAAACATCTGGGGATACGTGAAGGATTTGTCTTCGTTTCAGGACCTGATATGAGTTAATACCCTGATTACAAAACCAGGGCGAGCTGCTGTTTTCCTCCTCTGTGCTAATCGTTGTAATGTTACTTCTCTTTCACAATCTTGCAGTGGAAGAGGGTGGGGAAGGGGAGCGTCTTCATCAAGGTTTGGACAATGGTGCATCCTGGCCTCTTATGGATCGGTGCCATTTCAGCTTCCAGCGTGTCCTCCCAGGTCTTTCAGAGGAAGCTGGCTCGCTTTCCCAGTGGGTTTGCTTCCTTCTCTTGCAGGGATGCTTGGCACCAGCTCAGTGGTTTAGAAAAGACACATTTGAAACAAAATCTTGATGAAGTTATTCTAGGGAGAAGGAAATGATGCAATGAAGGACTTGTCCATTTGGAGGAAGTTGGATTTCCGTCAAGGGCGTTATCTAAGCTATCTTTTTTTTTTTTTTAATAAAGGCTTTTCTGGCCTGTGCAAGAGGGTGTTCAGCTGCTTGAAGGTTGAGGAGAGCAGTTGTAGGTCACCTTCATCTGCCCAGTTTGCCCCGAATACACTGTCTTGCCTCTGAGGTCTTTGACCTGAGGTCACTTTTGCAAACTGCCTGATGTTTCCTAGCAAAGACCTTAAGTGGGGTGAAGCCACCAGGAGGATAACGAAGAGGAGCAGCAGTGACAGCAGGCCACGAGGAGTGAGAACAAGAGAAAGAGACAACAGCTGAGTAGAAAGGGGTGTTCAGCTGGGACAGAGCATTGGCTTTCCAGAAGGCATGTTTGTGTTTTACTGGTTTATCTTCTGCTTGTTGCATGGGTCAGATAGATGTGACTGTTTCTGCATTGGAAATTGGCACCTTTGCACTTGACATCCAGTCTCAAGCTCTGGTCAGGGGATGGAAACAAACGTTTGCCTCAGATTTCCTATTTGCAAACGGACTTTCGTGGCTGCTCATTTCTGTAGCTGTGTCTCAGTTGCTGGGTAGGGTGGGTGGCCAGCAGCAACATCAGCAGCTCTTTTCACCCTCCTTTTGAGTCAGCTCGTGAGCACAACAGAGTGCAGCCTGCTCCCGCTTCGCTGGTGTCTCATCAAGCCTGTGATAATGTAAAATGGTACCTTATCAAGTCGAGCGACAAAATCGAGTGCAACTTCCTTTTCTCCTACAGACAGGGCTGCTGCAGAGGGGAGCTGGGCTCTCTGCTCCCTGTGCAACCTCGCCAGATAGGTTTACACGGGCTCCTCGTAGGCATAGCGGGTGTGTGGGTGTTGCTGAGGGTAGAGCTCGATGTACAGAGTCACTGCCACATCCCAGTCTGTGTTTGCAGAGCTGTAAATTGAGTCAAACTGTCTCTGCTTGTGACTTGGGTCTGTCTTGGTGAGAGGGTTCAGAGGCAGCGACCAGGGGCTGGAGGCTGTTTCGCTGCAACAGGGCTGTGCTCTGAGATCACCTTCTCAGAGCAGGGGAGGCGATGGGAAACAGTCACTGCTTTCCTTCTTTTTTTTTTTTTTTTTTATTTCTTTTTTGTGGGATGCAGCCAGGAGACATCAAGGGAGCGAGCTTGCAGAGGGGAACTCAGTGGGTGTACCACTCCCACCCCTATAGACGCTGGCCAAACATGAGGGGCTCTGCCCTGGGGGATCTTGCAGAAGGGGGACCTGATGCATTCCCAGCGATGGGATGCTCTGTGGGCAGCGCTGGCAGCTTGCGGCCTGTCCACGAGGAGGGTGGGCTCCGCAGGCTGGAGAAACAAAGGAACATTTTCCACTTTCTTCCTCCCTTTCATTAGCCAGGCAGAGACTGATTCAATTAGGTGCAAAACAAAATGCCAGGAAAAGGATGTTTGCTATAGCGAGTGGCGCTGCTGTCGCAAACCTGCTCGCCTATCTCTTGCAGCCTTTTGTTCTGCTCCTTCCACAGATAAAGTGATTCAGAGATTCTGACATGCTGCCCTGAGAGTGGGAAGTCCCCAGGGTTAGCAGGAGAGAAGCGAGGAGCAGGGTGGTTTGGCAGGAGAGAGGCTTCCCTGAGCTAAATCCTGCGAGCTGGTGACAGTCCTTGGCGCCTGTCGCCTTCAGCTGGCATCTCGAGCGCCGGCTGGGTCTCGGGATCAGGCCTTTTGTAACAACGAGGTTTTTAAGACGACGATGAACCTGTGTACTAGCTGGGAAGGAGCTGCTTTTGTGCATTGCAAACGGACAGGCTCTTGTCCTGGGTCAGCCCTGGTGTGGCAGGAGCCAGCTTCTCCCAGGTGAGGTCTCACAGCTGAGCTGACTTGCACCCTGGATCTTCTTAGGACAAAGTGTGTCCCAGCAGGGACAGGCTCTCTGCCACACCAGTGTGGACATCATGTGCCTCTGGCGACTCCCAGTAGCTGGCTTGCAGCTCTGGGAGGAAAGGCAAGGAGCAAGAGCCCAGATGATGCTGGGCTGGTGTCCCCTCTGTTGCTCAGGAGCTCCCCTCTCAGGTATAGTGATCCCTTTTGGGTTTGCTTTGTGAGCAGTGATCTCCAGGTCCTCCTGACCTTTTCCTGGGGTCTGCAAAAGGGCCATGCTCCCAGCTGGCATGGAGAAGTCAGGCTGGAGCTGTCTCGCCCTGGAGGCAGTGATTGCCAGAGGTGTCAGCCGTGTCCTGTGCCCCTTCCCAAGAGAGTGGCCTCTTGCAGGAGCAAGCCGCTGCTTTCACAGCCTGCTGCCCTTGGTGGGTTCCAGAGGAGCAACAGGTAGGGACAATGCCCAGAGCTCTCCATCTCCAGCAGCTCTTCCTTCTGTCGCCTTGCTGTGTTGCTGCAGTTTAACCAGTGGCCAGCACTACCTGGTTTTGCTGCTTTTACCCAATGCTGATCTCTCCCTGCTCTGTTCCAATGTCCCTGTTGAACCAGGCACCCGGGGTGACCTGTGCTGTGATCCTCAGGCTCTGGAGCTCATTGCTAAATTTCTTCTTGCTTTTATCCTGTGAATTTGGCTTAAAAATATAGAAATACTAGCGGGCTGGCCATCCATATGGGAGACCAATGAGCGTGCATGGCGAAGCACTGCTTTCCGCTCGGAAAAGTGCAGGCTGTGAAATGGCAAACAGCACGTTTGGTCCGATGGGGGATTTGGAGCAGGTTGAGCAATGCTGTTCATTTAAGCAACTCAAAACTGGTATTGTTGTGTAAGGGGAA